ATTCTCTTGTGGGAAAGCCAGCTTACGGAAGTGTTCGGTGAAGAGGGAGTAACGGAGCCAAGGTTACCAAGGTTACCTGGTGTCTGATGAGAGCTAGCAAGGTTCAGGATGTCAAGTGAACACACTGAAACAGGTCCCAAATGACTTGAGTCCCTTTCTTTGCTGGCTTGCTTTCATCATGAGGTGATGTAGGGGCTGCTGCTAGGAGATCGCTCTCCAATGGTTTACTGAGCTGCCTTGTGTGCTACAAATCCCACCTACTCAGCAAGGCATCTTCATTGGCACACAGTGCCCGAACTGTTTTGGAGGTAACCAATGGCTTTCTGGTTAGATCTGAAGCTCCTCCATAAGAAGAAACATATGCTTGTTTCTCTAAGCTGGGTCAGAAGCACACGGCTAAAGGAGCTCCTAGGCCCCTGTTAGGGTCTCCATTGCTGTGATGAAACACTGTGATCAAAGCAGCTTAGGGAGGACGAGTTCATTTGGTTTACACTTCTGAATCCCAGTTGATCGTCAAAGGAAGTCAGGACAGAAATTCAAGCAGGGCAGGAACCTGGAGACGGGAGCTGATGCCGAGGCCATGCTTTTAAAATTTAAGTCTGTCATCTTTTCACTGAGCTGCTTACAGGAGCAAAAAGCTGAAGCAATTTCCACACACAACAATACGATTAGGAGATTAGGAGAAGTAAATGTACATTTCAGAGCATTAGCTGGACGCATCAATGTCTGATACTATGCTGTAAAAACAAGCAAACATAGGATTGCTTTTAGTTTCTTTTTAAAAAGCGTCCCCTCCCTTTTTTTTTAAATATTTATTTATTTATTATGTATCCAATATTCTGTCTGTGTGTATGTCTGCAGGCCAGAAGAGGGCACCAGACCTCATTACAGATGGTTGTGAGCCACCATGTGGTTGCTGGGAATTGAACTCAGGGCCTTTGGAAGAGCGGGCAATGCTCTTAACCACTGAGCCATCTCTCCAGCCACCCCCCTTTCTTAATGGCAAGATCCTTTAAAAAAAATTTTAAGGCAGGATCTCACTATATAACACTGGGTAACCTGGAACTTGTTATGCAGATCAGGCTGGCCTGGAACTTAGTGATCCACCTTGTGCTGTTTCTCTCAAGGGCTGGGATTAAAATCATATACCACTATGTCCAGGTTAAAAATTGTTTCAATTTTATTTATTTATTTATTTATAACATTTATTTGTTTATGGGTGTGGAAGTCAGAGGACAGCTTGTGAGAGCCAGCTCTCTCTCTATCATGGGGATCTCAGGGACTGAACTCAGGATGGTGGAAAGCACCTTTACCTCAGACTCATCTCACGGGCCCATCCTCTCTCTCATCCTCTCTCACTCTTGTAGTACAAGGAGCGGGACCCTTGTTTGTTCTGGCCGCCCTGCTAGCTTACACCCAGAATAATCACATAGAAACTGTATTCATTTAAACACTGCCGGGCCCATTAGTTCTAACCTCTTATTGGCTAACTCTCACATATTAGTTTAACCCATCTCCATTAATGTGTATTGACTGTGGCTTTCCGGCATGAGTCTAACCAGCGTCCATCTCGGAGAGGAGAGCCATGGCGTCTGCCTGACTCTGCTTTCTTTCTCCCAGCATTCTGTTCTGTCTTCCCTGCCTACCTGAGTTCTGCCCTATCAACTAGGCCAAGGCAGTTTCTTTAATAACCAATGGAAGCAACACAAATACAGAAGGACCTCCTACACCAACTCTCTCTCTCATCCTCTCTCTCAGTCTTGAAGTGCTGGTAATTCAAGGCATGGGCCATTATACCTAGCTTAAAAAGTGTTTAGTTATCCCATGTTAATTACACATATTTATAGTATTACATGTTTTCAGTACATGAATACACTGTAAAATAAATCAGGGCTCTTAGCTTTTCCACTAAGACTAAATAAGCAAAACAAACAAATCAAACAAAAAATTCCCACAAACTATAAAACATACAAAAATACTTGGCTTGGTCCCCCTCACTGTATGCTTTTTCCCTTCCTTGACTCTGGTCTGTGGATCGCTGGGGAGCCAGTGACTTGAGCTCCTTTTGCTCCATTTAGCATGGTGAACTTATCCCTCTCCTCTTCCCATCCAGTACCGACTGTGTAACCAGACAGACTGAAGAGTCACTTGTTACTGGGGAGGCTCTGTAGCATGGACACTAATGGATCTTAATAATAAAAACCTGGAGTCAGATACAGGGGTTAATGCTGAAGATCAGAGTAGAGCGGCCAGACTCGAGAGTTCTTTTACCTCTGCCAAAGGGGTGATCCTGCCCTCAGACTGCATCTCCAGACTCCATCTGTCTCCACCAAACCTCAGACTGCACTGAGCTCTTGTCTCCTCCCGCCTTATAGTCCCCTCTCTGCTCAGTTATATCACTCCTGTCTCCACCTCCCTAGTGCTGGGATTAAAGGGGTGCTATCCCAAGTGCTGGGATCACCTTTGTGTGAACTTTGTTTCTCTGTAAGACAGATTCAACCTGATGGCCTTGAACTAACAAGAGATCCCTCTGCCTCTGTCTCCCTAGAGTGCTAGGATTAAAGGTGTGTGTCACTCCCTGGCCTCTAGTGGCTTAACTCTGCACTCTGATATTCAGGCAAATTTTATTTGTTAAAACACAAACATAATATCACTACAAGGCTCCTTACCCTCCATCTAACAGATGTGCGAGTGTTGGTGTCTGGTTGGTGGCACTCTGCAGGGGGTTGGGTTGGGGTTAGGAATGGAGGAGTAAGTTCAGAGTGGCAACAGACAGCTAGTGAAGGTATATTGCAGATGCTGGGAGAGGGGTCCACAAAAACAAAGGAAGACCGCAGCTGTCCCTCTAAGTGCTTCAGGCAAGTCCCTTACTCCCTCTGGGCCTGTTACCCATCTGCATAAGAGCAAATTAAGCTGGGTGACCCTGGAGTCTGTCAGATTCCAGGAGCTGGAAATGCACAGAAAGGTCTCAGGGTAGACAGTGAAGGGAGTGAAGACCAGCCAACAGCAGTCGGGACTCAGGACAGGTAGACTGGGTGAGTAGGGGAAGTAGTGGTGATGGATGCAGAACAGGTGGAGTCAAACAGGCGCCTGCAGCAGGTTAGAAGGCAACAAAGCACCGCAGAAGTTGAGAAACTACTCAACTGAGAAGCTCTTGTCCTGGGCCATCCCAAAACCCAGGCTTCACTTATAGTGCCACTGCTTCCCAGCTGTGTATCTGATTTCCCACCTCTAAAGGTGCCTCGTAACTGCCTTTGAAGGATGCCGTGAAGAAAATATAGGGCAACCCAGGCTGAGTTCTACAAACTGCAGGAGTCCGCCATGCCGCAGCTCGAGCCCGCTGGGGCCAGGGAACTCGGTTTGTACCACCGCCGGTATAAGACATGAACAATGAAGCAGCTTTTGACCCCGTTTTTGTGTGTCTAGACCCCCCACCTCCGCCCCGCTTAAGCATCTGGCTTCATGTGGATGTAAATGTGCCACGGTGTTTCGTTTGTCCCTACTGCCCAGTTCCAAATAAACTTTTAGGCCAGCTGGAAAGATTCAGGGATCATGGAAACATCACCGGGTAGAGAGAACAGCAATAATGCAGCCGGTCATTGAGCAAGTTCACACCTTCCGTGTACAAGCTCATCCTCACCCCCACTGGGTGTGCATGCACAAGGGACTTGTGGTTTTTGTGACTCAAGAGGAACACACTTGAGGATCCTGGCCTGTGTGAGGTCCTGGGGCAAGATAAGCCGAACCCTGGCTTGCCCACTTTTCAGCAGTGAACACTTGGCCATGGCTTTCCCTTGGCGGGGCCTGGTGGAGATGTTGGAGAATTACACCAAACTCAGCCCACCAACTGCGGGCTTTCCGAGAGCCGGAGGGCCTGAACAAGCGCAGAAGCAGTGCTGTGGAGGAAAGTGCCAGGCAGACAATCCTGGAGATTGACAACTGGAGCCTGGTGCGGGCAGGGTGGGACCTGGGCATCATTTTCAGGCTCCGCCCACCTTTCCAGGCTGCGATGAGGAGAGTAGTTTGCCCACGCGGATCTGCAGAGGAACACCGATTTCCTACAAGGATTAAATGGATGTCTACCGTGCACCTCCGAGAGCAAGCTGAGAAGGGCGCTTCCCTAATGGTAGAATTACTACTGGTGAGGCCACAAGTCAGTTCCACTGCTCCATGCTATTTCCCTACTGGATGCAATTTTGCAGCTTCTGGACAACCCTAAAGGCAAAGCTCCGCCCTCAGCTGTTTACCCAGGAGCCCAGACAAGGTATTCAGGGCAGGCAGGGGTTGTGTCATCCTTCCAGGTCTATGAAGTCCTCTGTTATCCATGGAGGCTCAGGGCAAGGAAGACAAGTCCCAGGAACCCAGAGTTCATTTTAGAAGGATACACACTCAAAGCAGCAATAGATTTTGTGCTTGGAATGAGCAGTTGCCACATATCATGTGACCAGTACCACCAGTCTTGAATGAAATGGTCAGAGGTACCAGGTTTACCAAACTGCAACATGGGAAAGACCCACTTTACTGGGTCATTCCCAAAACTAAGGCAACCAAATTCCACAGAACAGGTGTGACATCCTTATTTCATGAAACTCGTTTTGGTACTGTGCCACCTGGTAAAAATACTCCTGAGATACAGATTTAAATGAAAACTGCACCTCTAAGGAACCCCAACAAAGTGGTCTCACAGTGACCTGAGCCCACATGAAACTTCTAGTCCTTTCCAGCCTCCACAAAAGGCAGTGGCTGCAGCTAACGTCTACAGAGCACACACCAAGTATTGCTTCTGCACTGTGTCTACTGCTGAAATCTGCCACAGCCACCACCACCCTTCCGCCAGCCAGCAGGACGATTGGCCCACTTCACAGATGAAGAAGTTGAGGTGTGTACAGAGATTATTTCTCACTAAGTCTGGCAGGCTGTTTGGCTCTGTGCTCTCAACCGTAACGGACCACTTGAGTAGTGGAATTTATTATATTCTTACAAGAATTTAACATGAAAGGCAAATTGAAGATTGCTTTAATATTTGCACTTACAAGCAACGAGTAAACAATTAAGAACAATTATGACTGGGCAGTGTCACAGCGATACGGAAGATGAGAGGCAAGGAGAGGATCAAGCCAGCTTCACATAAAGGCATTTAGATGTAGGACAGGAAACACTGACATGCTAAACCTGGGAGGAATACAGACACAAACGCTAAGACCTGGAGACTCAGTGACATTATGAAACATGTCTGGAAAGTGAGGCTTGGTAAACAGTTTAGATGTTGAATGTCCCTCTGGGGGCCAACCTGTCTACATCTGGATTTAACTAAAATCCAAAAACAGAGGGCACACCTGTGAGGGATTTTTACTTAATTGGAAGTAGGCAGATCCTCCTTCTTGAGGGGGAAGACACACCTCTAATCTGGGCCATCCTTCTGCTGGAATCTATAAAAGGGAGCTTTTGCTTCGCCTGCTTGTCCTCACCTTGCTAGCCAGTCCGTTTCTTCGCAGGCATCAGAGCCTATTTCTTCGGGATTCCAGTGAAGACCAGCGGAGACATCCGGTCTCGAGGACTGAGCAAGTACTGGCTTCTTGGACTTTCTGTTCACGGTTCAGACAGCCATTTCTGGATTAGCTGGGCTGCAGCCTGTAAGTCATTCTAATAAATGCCCTTTACATATACATATATAGAGAGACTCATTCTGTAAGTGCTGCTACTCTAGAGAACCCCGACTAACACCTCCCCACAAAGGCCTGTGCCCTGCAGGCTTCATCCCTAGCCCATGCTGCTACTGGGAGGTGGGAGAACTTGTAGTAGGCAGGACTGGTGAAAGGAGATTAGGTCATTAGGGACATTCTCTAGAAGGTGACACTGACCCCTTTCTATCTCTTTGCTTCCTGGTTGCCTCCTCTACCATGAATGTCTGCCACAGGCTCAAAGAAATAAGGCCAAACATGGGTAATCTCTGAGACACAGCAAGTTGACAAGTGTGTAATGACATTCCTTCTTTGTGTCAACTGTCTTGTTCACCCTGGTTTTCTGACTTCAGGTTTCGTTATTTAACAAGATAAAATCAGAGCATGGAGGTCCAGACCTAATGCTTTATTCTCTTCCTGTGTCAAACATCATTTATTGTCTAGTTGCAGTAACAAACAAACAACCCCCTCCCCCCAAAAAACACCAATAAATAATACTGAGCTCTCTGGTTATGGATCCAGGCAAAACTCAAACAAAACTTTCCTAACAGCTAACAGAGGACACTTTAAGAGAACTGAGCATGAAACCCGCAACTGCCCGTTCCCATTACACCCTGAAGTCAAATCAATCGACTGTGACAATGATGAGACCTAAACTATTAAAGCCAATTAAGACAGTGGATAATTACACCTTTATATATAAAGGAATCATAATCCAGGAAAACAGAATTAAAATAGCCTGCTAGCAGCAGGTTTCTACCATTCTTTCAACAACGCTGATGAGATCTGGAATGATTACAGCATTAAGGATATAGTCAGAAAAATCACAGGTAGGAGTGGTGGACAGGTGGCTCACATTCAAGACTCAAGTCTACTTAAAAAAATGATCTTACTAGCACTAGTTTCTAGCTCCTTCTTTTTGGTTTCAGAGGTGCTTCCACAACCCGGAAGGATTGCAGCGCAAGTCGCATACTGGCCCTGAGCTCTAGAGGTGCCCCGGCTACACGAGTTTGGTGACATACTGGAAGAGCTGCTCCGCAAACACTTCGGCGGAGAACTTCTCTGCCACCCTGGCTCTTCCAGCCAGGCCCATCGTGGCTTTCAAGGATGGCTTGTGGATGAACTGTTCCATTGCCTCTGAGAAGCGCACTGGGTCAGGCTCACACAGGAACCCTGTGACCTTGTGGACGACAGACTCCAAGGGCCCCCCTGAGTTGACGGCGATGACCGGGCACTGCATGTACATGGCCTCCAGGGGGACGATGCCGAAGTGCTCATTGCTCGGGGTGTAAAGCACACACAAGCAGCCGTGGAGGAGCGAGATTTTCTGTCTGTCTGAGAAGGATGGCAGGAAGGTCACGTGGCGCTCGAGGTCTGACTGCTGGACTATTTTCTTTAACTCCTTATAGTGTTCCACGTTTTCCAGGACCCTATCGTCGTAACCACCACCCATGAACAGATGAACCCTTTCCCAGTCTTGAGATGTCAACCGTCCGCGAAGCTGGACTAGGGCGCTCAGCGCCAAAGGTAGATTCTTCTTCCTTTCGAATCGGTTGATAGAGAGGAACAGGAACTGTTTCCCCTTGGGGACTAGGTCATCTATCTTCTCAGGAACAGCCAAGTCAAAGCTGCCGATGTTCAGGGACGGGTAGAGGACATCAGGGTTTACATGAGACAGGGTCTTGAAGGTTTCCTTAAAGACGGAAGCTGTGTACTGGCTGTTTACCAAGATGCGATCTGCCATGCCTGTGGTGTATTCCTCGATCCAGTCAATGGGGGCCCTGTAGAACCGCTTCAGGGCAGAATTTCTCTTGGTAAGCAGGAGATCTGGGAAGTGACAGTAAAACAGGACCTTCTTACGCCGTCTGGCCAGTTTGAAGACAGGTATACAGGCAGATACCTAACCAAGGTAAAACCGACAGTAGGTAAGTGACTGGCCATGCCAAATGCCACAGTCCAGCTGCCCGGTATCACTGATTCATAGGATCTGGACAAACATCTACATTAACCATGAAGATAACCACCTCAGGGCGGTTTAGTGCAACTCAGGATCATAATAAAGCAACCCCAGAGCAAATGTGGTTACTTGTACCTGTTGGTTTAGAGCACAATGGTCGGTAGCATCCACTGTGGAAAAGAACATGGGGTAATCTAGTTTAGACTAATCTATACTAGATTTACTATATTAATATATATAATCTAGTATGTGGGAGAATAAAGTGACACCTTTGGAAATGGTTACTGACATTTACAATGAACTACTCTATAACCCACAACTTTTCCAGCACCTCCCAGGAGTTTCCTCAGAGGACATGCGTAAGAAGTGAGATTAGCGTGTGGCTGTCACATCTCCTGCAATATGAGAATGCCACACCTAGTCTCTCTCTCTCTCTCACACACACACACACGACACACACACCTGGTTGCAATGTTAGTGTCCCTAAAGAAGATGGAAACATTTATGGTACATTTGAATAAAGGGGACTTTCCAGTCACTGAAAGACAGATGTGGATCTTGAATATCAGTAAGCATGGATATCTCAAAGTTTTGCGATGTCCAACAGCTGGCAAACTGAATCCCAATTATGTACAAGTAAGATGTAGCCAGAAACAGACACATATGTGGTACACATCACTTCTGGAAGGAAGCAGAAGAAACTGTTGACAGTGGCTCTCTCAAGGAGGGAACAGGGGACTTTTACATTATACTTATTTGACCTTTTACTCCTGAGTAAATGTTACTTCCCAATTTAAAAAAAAAAAAAGAAGGACTGAGGCCTTGGCTCCAGGTGTAGAGTGGGGATCTAAGTTTGATTTCAACTGCCCACATAAACCCAGGCTACGGCAGCGCATACCTGCCTAAAAGTCTAGCCAAATCTTTCAGTTTCTGGTTCAATGAGAGATCCTGGTTCAAACGTTCAGGTGGTGACTGACGGGGAAATATACCTGACATTGGCGGTTTCCACAGGCTCAGACACCTGTACAGGCAAATATATCCACCAATCTCTGTCCAACTCCAAAACTGAATAGTAAAAAACACCTAAGAAACAAGTCTGGTATGGCTACAGGGCAGATAGGGTGGAATGCTACTTACCAAAAACTTGGGACTTCAAATCAGCAAGGTGGCTTACATTGTAAACCCAGTACTTGGGAGGCAGAGGCAAAAGGAGTAGAGGCAAGGTGGTGTCGAACTGGGAGGACAGTTTGGGACCACTTAGCAAAACATACAATAAATTGGGACTTTTCTCCAGGACCAGTGGGGACAATGATAAAGTTTTAATGGGCAATATGATAGATTTAGCTTGATTTTAATCCATGGCACTGCTAAATCCTGGAGTGGCGGGACGAGGAGATTGGAGAGGGTGGGATGGATGGAGAAGAACAAATGGAGTTAGAGACAAGGAGTGACAGAAGGTGACTTTAAATGCTCGTGTTCCTTGGAGCGAGCCCCCACTACCCGCCCCAACTACTTTAGTCTCAGGACGAAGCACTTAAAATGCAGGCATGTGAGCCCTATCTCAACGCCTTCAATGAAAAGGGGTGAGGTGTGATTCCTGAGATCTGTCACTTAAAGGATCCACACTAAAACTGGAGACAGCCCTGTGCCTGGGAACTCACGCTGGGGCCAGTACCAAAAAAAAACCCAGCCCAGGGGTCCCGCCCCCTCACCTGGTCGCACACGACCACGTCAAACTCCTCGCCGGACAGAAACAACACGTAGAGGGCCAGAAAGATCATGCGCACGTAGGCGCAGATGGCGGCGCCGCGGCCGCCCCAGCCCAGGCTGCGGGGCAGCCAGTCCCCGGCGCAGTGCACCGGGAGCTCGCGGGTCTCCAGGAAGCAGTGATTCGGGTTGTAGTGCGCGGTCCATATCTTCACGTCACAGCCGTACTCCTGCAGCGCCAGCGCCGCGTCCAGCACTAGCCGCTCGGCACCGCCCACGCCCAGGTCCGGGTGCAGGAAGAGTACGGACGGGGGGTAGACCCGGGCCCGGGCTCGGCACAGGTTTTCGGCCATGGCCGAGCCACCGCGCCTGCTCCCTGCACGCGAGCTTCGGCAATCTCCGCCCCTGGCCCCGCTAGCCACTGAAAGCCGACCCGGCCCGGGGACGCGTGCGTCGGTTTAGGCCACATCAGCGGCAAACTTGTGGGCGCTAAGAAAATGCCTGATTAAATCTCCCGCGTGAGACAACCAAAGCGGCTCATTTGGTGAGATTGGTCCCCATGAAAGGCTCTGAGATCAAATGAAAGACGCCAAGGGTTTGTCGTATTTCACTCGGTCCAGTTGTTCTCAGCGTAATTTGTACAGGCATATCCTAGGACAGCTCAGCCGTCCTAGAGTCTGCGAGGACCCTGCCAGCCGGCTGGGGGCGGTGCCAGAGCCTGACTCCGCCGGTGCTCCGAGTGCTCTGCAACTTCCCGACTTTCCGCACCCGAGTCTCTTGAGCCCGCTCTTCTTCGGCATCAGCATGGTGCGCGGCTCCCGGCTTCTGGCCCGTCCTTGCCTTAGTCTCCCTCCTTGTCCCAGCTTCCCGGGTGGGGGCGTGTCGGGGATCTGAAGCGGGCGGCGATGCTTACGGTCTGTCTGCTTCTCTTTGCAGCCGGGTCCGACGCCCAGTGGCACCAACGTGGGCTCCTCAGGGCGCTCTCCCAGCAAAGCGGTGGCCGCACGGGCAGCGGGATCCACGGTCCGGCAGAGGTAAGGGCAGAAATTCGCACTGCGGGATGAAGTCCAGGATGGGAAGAAGATTCACAGGGCCCGGGTGAGCCCGAGCTGACGTGGCCCTTTAGGAGGGAGGCATCGTTTTCCTGTCCTTGATCAGTTGCACCACTTTAGTTAAAGGGAAGTTAAATTACACCAGGATCAGTAACAACTTTGAGAAAGGTGGTGGCATAAGGCTGGTGTCTCTGGGGTTTTACCTTTCAGACTTTCACCGAGAGTTCCAATACACACTCAGTTTAACAAAACTTGCTTTACACAACAGTCTGTCACCCTAGTTCCCCATCCCCAACTGTTTGTGTGTTTTTTTGGATCTATTTTTAGTGTGTGTGTTGTGTGCTCATGTGTGGGTATGTGCATCATGTCCCTGCCTGGTGCCCTCGGAGGTCAGAAGAGCACATCAGATCAGCTGGAACTGCAGTTAGGAATGACTGAGCTGTGTGAGTGCGGGGGACCGATTTGGGGTCCTTTGCAGGAGCGACAAGTCCTCTGAGCCAGCTTCAGTGTCTCCTTATTTTTGTTTGTTTGTTGTTTTGTTTTGTTTTTGATTCTTCGAGACAGGGTTTCTCTGTGTATGTAGCTTTGGAGTCTGTCTTGGAACTCTCTGTAGACCAGGCTTGGCCTTGAACTCACAGAGTTCCTCAGTCTCTCTGCCTACCCAGTGCTGGGATTAAAGGCCTGCGCCACCACCACCTGACTGACCTTGCTATTTGTGTTTTTACAGAAATCCAGAAGCTCCACTCCTTCCTTCCTTTCTTCCTTCCTTCCTTCCTTCCTTCCTTCCTTCCTTCCTTCCTTTCTTCCTTCTTTCTTCTTTCTTCTTTCTTCTTTCTTCTTTCTTCTTGTGTCTTTTCTATCCAGTCCTATGCCAGGCTTCACTGGAAGACGTTCTTATTACTTCTCTTCCTCCATTTCTGTCAATCCAGTTTAGCCCTCAAACTTCTTTTCTTTCTTTTTTTTTTTAAATTGAGCTATATATTTTATATTTTTCTTCGCTTCCCTCCTTTCCTCTCCCCTTCTCTTCTACCTTCTCCCATGGTCCCCATGCTCCCAATTTACTCAGGAGATCTTGTCTTTTTCTACTTCCTATGTAGATTAGATCCATATATGTCTCTCTTAGGGTCCTTTTTGTTTTCTAGTTTCTCTGGGGTTGTGGATTGTAGGCTGTCTTTCTTTGCTTTATGTCTAAAAGCCACTTATGAGTGAGTACATATAATAATTGTCTTTCTGGGTCTGGGTTACCTCACTCAATATGATGTTTTCTAGATCCATCCATTTGCCTGCATATTCGAAGATGTCAATTTTTTTCTGCTGTGTAGTACTCCATTGTGTAAATGTACCATCTTTTCCTTATTCATTCTTTAGTCAAGGGGCATTTAGGTTGTTTCCAGGTTTTGGCTATGGCAAATAATGCTGCTATGAACATAGTTGAGCACATGTCCTTGTGGCATGATTGAGCATCCTTTGGATATATACCCACAAGTGATATTGCTGGGTCTTGAGGTAGGTTGTTTCCTAATTTTCTGAGAAATCGCCACACTGATATCCAAAGGGTCTATACCAGCTTGCACTCCCACCAGCAATGCAGGAGTGTTCCTTTTCCCCACAACCTCTCCAGCATAAGTTGTCATCAGTGTTTTTGGTCTTGGCCATTCTTACAGGTGTGAGATGGACTCTCAGAGTTGTTTTGACTTGCATGCTCTCAACCTCTTCTGCTTTGCATTTCCACCACTGTTCATCCTCCAGCCGGCTGTTTGTCTTCCACTTAGATTCTCTGCAAGTTTCTGGTGGCTGCATGTTAAGAAAAGGGAGTCTGTGGAGGAATCCCGGGGCTCTCCTTTCTCCTGTGATCCAGCAATTCTGAACTTACTACCATTTTTCTGAGCTTCATATCCTCATTCGGTCTGTCCTCTTCTCAAGTATTTATTTATTTAGTTTCTTTTTAGACAGTCTCACATAGCCCAGGCTTAAACTCATAACCACCCTGCCTTCACCTCCCAGGTGCTAGTATTGTAGTTTTATTAATAGTAGGAGACTTTATGCTTACATGTTCATCTCCTCTGCTTCAATAGAGAACCTGTCCACGTCCTCTTTTTCAGTTCCTGTCTTAAGTCACGCCATAATAAATATGAACTGAAGGAATCAGCTAACCCTGTTGCTGTGTTTTTCTAGAGAGGAGTAGACCATGAAAACTCAAAGGGAACCTTAAAACTATCATTCAGAAGGTGGAGAGGAAGGCTTGGGGATATGGAGGGTCAGTAGTGGAGAGCTTGCCTAGCATGTGTAAGGCCACAGACTTGGTCTCTAGCACCACACACAAAGCACAGCACCAAACATCCACTAAGGAAGAGACAAGGGACCTTTCTTGTTGGCTACTGTAGGAAAATCTAAGTCTCCGCAGTGGATTTAGACTAGGTGGTTTAAACATGTGTGCTCAGAGCAGGGAGTTCTTGTAGAACTGTCAGAAATGATAAGGTGGTCCTGGGTGACTGCAAATGTTGCATCACTAAGATATTTAAAGGAAGTATATTGAGTGACTGTAGGTTGTACGGGCCGGACTCCTGTGTTGTTGCTAGCTGGGGTTTTAGAGACTCTTTGTGCTAGTCTTGTAGGTATGGATAGATCCTTGGGAATTGATTTTTGTTCAAGAAAAATTAATAGGGAAGTTTGGCCATCTGAGAACTTCATTTATTTATTTATTTTTGGTTTTTCAAGACAGGGTTTTCTCAGCTGCTATGGAGCCAGTTCTGGAACTCACTCTGTAGACCAGGCTGGTCTCAAACTCACAGAGATCCGCTTTCCTCGGCCTCCCGAGAGCTGGGATTAATAAGTGCCCATCTGAGAACTTTTAAAGAGCCAAAAGGCACTTACTTATCAAATTGTCAAAGAATGATAAATAAAAGTGAGGCAGTCAGAGCATAAGTGATGTGACAGATGCAGCTTTTACGTTATGGATATAAATGGTGTCTTTAATTTAATATTGTACAGCCTGTGACATTAGACTGCCCTTGGCTAATGTATGGAGAGACTGTATAAATTCATTCTAGAAACCTGTATCTGGTTCAATAATTGTAATCGCTGTTGACTGGGGAAGAATGTGTCTGTTCTTTGAGAAGTTGAAGCTTATGGTTAGTGATGCTTTGGACTACATAGTGTGCAATTTGTATCTCTGAATGAAGTGACAGTAGTAATAATGTCTCAGAGAAGAAATGTGTAGGATTTAAGGTTCAACTGGGCTCGGAATTCTTGGTCCGCATAATACAATGGAACAGGAACCTCTGCAAGGAGGGAAAGGAGCGATGGTACTTTAGAGACCACAAACTTCATGCAGAAGTAATGGAAAGTCGAGATATTAAGATGGTGGGATAATTAAGACAGTCATCAAATAATAACTAAAGGCCTGTCACACATCAAGCCTTAGTTTATCTTGGAGAATGTACTTGGAAAAAAGATAGCCAGAGTTGGGCGCTGGTGGCGCACACCTTTACTCCCAGAACTCAGGAGGCAGAGATCTCTGTGAGTTCGAGGTCAGCCTTCTCTACAAAAGCGAGTTCCAAGGGCTGGAGAGATGGCTCAGAGGGTAAGAGCACTGGCTGCTCTTCCAGAGGTCCCGAGTTCAATTCCCAGCAACCACATGATGGCTCACAACCATCTGTAATGAGACCTGGTGCCTTCCTTGCCAGCAGTACATTGTATGCTTAATAAATAAATAAATTAAAAAAAAAAAAAGCTAGTTCCAGGACTGGACCCAAAGCTACAGAGAAACCCTGTCTCAAAAAAAAACAAAAACCAAACCAAAACAAAAAACTATGTATCCATCTATTGAAAGAGAGAGAGAGAGAGTGAGCGCCAGGGTTTGTCTGCATTTTGTGAGCTTTTTACCATTGTGGGAGGCCATAAATTACCAAATAAGTAGGTCATGTAATTTCAAGTGATTGAGGCAATAAATGAAAGAAGCTGGGGAGATGAGGCTAGAGAGAGGGTTGTAGATGGTTTGGATAGGGTGTTCAGGGTGAGTGGTTCATGAGACCCATGAGGTGCAAGGGAGCTAGTGATGCTGTGGTCTAGGGAGTACAGGTTGCCTAGCAAAAGGAATAGTAATGTACAGATAGACCAGAACTGGGTTCACATGCCAGCTTAGCCATTGCTGAGCTAGTTGTTCTTGCTTATAGATGGCAAAGGCAGTTCCTGTGCACATTGGCACATGACAGGTGCTGGTTCTCAGTCCATAGAACATAAGACGACTGGCAAAGGTAGGGTTTGACTTTATCCTAGTAAAGAAGGCTTTTCTTTTTACAGGTTGTTGCTTTTTTTTTTAAAGCCTGTATACTGTAGGCATATGTTATTAAAAAGGCTACTAATGATATTTTTATCCCTTACAGAAAAAATGCCAGCTGTGGGACGCGGAGTG